TTTGGAGCCTGTCCTTTAGATTACTTTTTAAAGATTTATTTATTTATGTATTTTATTTGTATGGATATTTTGTCTGTGTGTATGCACATCAGTAGAGACCATCATATCCTATGGAACTGCAGTTAGGTAGGCGCTGGGAATTGAACTCTGAACTTCTGGAAGAGCAGCCACTGTTCTTAACTGCGGAGCCATCTGTCCAGCCATGATTTTTAAATTCTTAACTGAAAAAAAAATTTTCATGTTCTTTCCTAATTAAAAAGCATTTTAAAATTCTCATTCAAATTGAGCATAAAAAATCCCGGGTTGGCCGGGCGTTGGTGGCTCACGCCTTTAATCCCAGCACTAGGGAGGCAGAGGCAGGCGGATCTCTGTGAATTCGAGGCCAGCCTGGTCTACAGAGTGAGTTCCAGGACAGCCTCCAAAGCCACAGAGAAACCCTGTCTCGAAAAACCAAAAAAAAAAAAAAAAAAAATCCCGGGTTGGTATCCTGGCATGTTGGTCCACACCTTTAGTTCCACCACTCAGGAAGCAAGCAGGCAGGTGGGTCTCTGTGAGTTCAAGAGCAACCTGGTGTTGGTCTCATAGCGATTACCAGGAGAGGAAAGGTTACATAGAGAAACCTTGTCTCAAACAAATCTGGGTTTGGTTAGGTTTTGTTTGGTTGTTCTTTCATTCCTGGATTCTGTATTAGTCTAGGTCGACTTGAAAACTGTTTCTGTAATCTCAGTCTCCCCAGTGGCAAGATTACATGTATGGCTAGTTGGCAGTGTTGTCACATGCCTTTAATCCCAGCATTTGGGAGGTAGAGGCTGATGGATCTCTGCATTGGAGACCAGCCTGGTTTGTTCACAGGGCGAGTTCCGGAAGGACAGCCAGGAATACACGGAGGAACTCTGTGTGTTTGTTGGGGGGTAGATTACATATGTCAGCTATCATGCCCACTTTGGTTTCTTTTTACATAAGAACCTCCTTGCTGCAGCCTCCCAAATACATGAGATTACAAGCCAAGCACCACATGCCAGGCTTTCTTTAACTTTTCCTTAAGCATTTTAGGGGTGGGTGTGGCGGGACATGCTTTTAGTCGCAGCACTCAGGAGGCAGAGGCAGGTGAATATTTGTGAGTCTGAGGATAGCCTAGTCCACATAGTGAGCTCAAGGACAGCCAGGTCTATGTAGAGAGACTCCCCATCTCAAAACAGACAGACAAACAAAAAATAGTATTTTTCTATGAGTATAGAGCCCTTTTTGGTAGAACCATTATCTACCATGCTTGCAAAGTGATCCTCATCATCTAAAATCAAACAAAAAATAAGCATTGTAGATATTTACTGCAAAATTCACAAGTGATCACTTTCATGCATCCATTAACTATCTCCTCAAAGCCTATCACACATACATATAATATCTTTTAATTTCTTCCAGGTTTTTTCCCCTAAGACATTGAACTCATTATGTAGACCAGGCTGGCCTTGAACTCACAGATCAGCCTATCTGTGCCTCTCTAGTGCTGGGATTAATGATGCATGCTACCACCTGCCTGGCTTCCCCTAGTTTTTTAAGCATACAGAGTCATCATTCTTTGTTTTTTTCCATCCCAACAGTTCGACATGGTTTAATTTGTCCCTTATTGATAGACACTCAGATTTCCAATGGTTTTATATTACAAATGACTTGGATGACAAGCTTAACCCAGCACATCATCTTATCTTTAAAATGTCTTTTTTGTTGCTTCTGGAAATCAAAACCCAGGGCCTCCTGCATGTAAGCACACACCCTCCCATCAAGCTACACACTTAGCCCGTTAAAATGATCTTTAAAGAATGAAAAAAAAGCAACTCTATCTGGTTACTCTTTGTAAGTACCAAAGATCCCTGGGCAAAGGATGGGTTTTCCTGAGAGACTGTATCCTGGAATTTCAGAACATGACCTCTTTCTCTCCCACAGGGCTACGGCATGGCATATACTGTCCACAAGTGGTCAGAGCTCAGCTGGGCCAGTCACTGGGTCACTTTTGGATGCTGGATCTTCTACCGTCTCATAGGCTGAGGAATATGACCCTCAATACCCCTGCTTAGGGTAGCAGCCCTAATGAGGGAAGACCCTTTCTCTTCTCCTTGACCCTCTCCGTTCTTGAGCCCCAACACCCCTACACACAATCACACTCACAGCCTTTCCATGCCTGTCAATCCCCACCCCACCAGCAGGCGGGAAGCAGCTGGTCCTCGGTGGAGCCTAGCAGTGGTAGATACTTGGGGAAGCAGAGAGGAGCAGATCCAGGGCCTCCCTGCCTACATCCTCCCTTTTTATATGCAGTTTGTTATTGTCAAATAAAAGTAGACATGCACAATCTGCTCATTCTTCATTGGTCAGAGCAGAAGGTAAGGGTTTGGAAGCTGAAAGTCATGACAGGATGGGTGGGGGAGTTGATTATGACCTGTTTACTGGTAATTTAAGATTCCTCATGATTGGCTAAGGAATTCAAAATGGCATTGTGTCCTGGCTCTGCTTATGTAGAGCAGGAACAGATTCGGGGAGGGTTTAATAAAAAATGATAGAGAATTGAGGGATCCCTACTCTGATTAGTTGCTCAGATTTGGACAGAAAGGGGGAGGGCAAGCTGGGCAGGGTAGATGCTGATTGATCCTCAGGACTAAACATTGCAGGTTATAATTATATTGATTCTGATGAAAGTCTGTTTTCTGACTGACTCCTGGTGACATGTGGTTGCCCACTCGAGTTGTACTTCTGTTTGGCCTTTAAGAACTGGCACCTAGCAGGGTATTGGTGGACTACTGCTCTCATCCCAGCACTTTCGAGGCAGAGTCAGGTGGATCTCTGTAAGTTCAAGGCCAGCCCTGTCTACACAGCGAGTTCCAGGATAGGCTCCAAAGCAATACAGAGAAACACTGTCTGGAAAAACAAAACAACACCAAAACCAAAAAACAAACAAATAACAAAAAAAAGAGAGAGAAGTGGCATATAATCCTAGTACTTGGGAAGCTGAGACAGGTGGATCTTTGAGGTCCAGGCCAGTCTGGTCTGCAGAGCAAATTCCAGGACAGGTTCCAAGGTTACAGAGAAACCCTGTCTCAGAAGAAAAAAAAAAAAAGCAAGGAAGGAAGGAAGGAAAGACGGAAGAGGAAAATAAAGAAAGAAAGGAAAGAAGGAAAGAACGGGGACTCTCGAGAGTGTCCACACCTATTGGTCAGCAGGAGAAAGGGTTCTGGGTTCTGAATAGTTTCGATTTGAAGTAGGGACTAGTGAGGATGGCCGCTGCTGTTAGGACTGGGGAGTTGAACTCAAGTTGGCACTAGGTTTGTGCCGTATAGGTTCTACAGTTTTTTTGCATTCGCACTGAGGCTGGGCCTGGGAACTGACTGGTTGCCTACACAACTATGAGATAATAGGCCACTCAAGGATTCATTAGCAAATGTGGTGGATTTATCACTTCTTTGTTCTCATCTCCGGCAATTGATAAGGGGGCGGGGAAACTGAAGCCCAGAGTAAAGTAGATTTACTTCTGGGAGGATCCAGGTCTCCGCCCCACTCCTGATATAATCTCAGCCAACAGGGGAGATGGCACCACGGATGAGGACCGGGCTTGAGATATACGGAGAACTCCTATTGGCAGGAACCACCTCCTCCACTTCACTATTGGTCCGTTCCATTAGGCGGGGAAGCCGCGAGGGCTGGGCGAAATTGGGGCTGCTAGGGAGCCTCACGCGCAGACTGAAAAGTCGCAAGCCTGTGCTAAGAAGTCGCCCTGCAATCGTGACTCTTAGGTGAGTGCCCTCCGCCCGCCAGCATGCGCGAGTTCCCACACGTGCTCAGACCCTCCCTCCCCAACAGCCGCCTGCGTGCGAGCCCTTTGCGGGACCTGGGCCCTAAAGCGGTTGTCCAGACGACGGAAGACTCGCCTTCTCGTTGTGCATGTTCTAGTTGTGATTGATGGTGTTTGGGCTCGGTTCTCCTTTCTCCAGGTTAGCGCCGCCCGAGAGACCCTGCCTTTGCTATTTATTTTGGGTTGTTGGCGGCATGGCACACTAATTGCCTGGAGTCTGGAATGTGGTGCTGGGCGCTGTAGCTCTGATTGGTCATCTCTGCAGACCTCCCTCCCGCCCCCCCTCCCGCCGCCTCCCGCTGCATTTCCTGGACCCCAGGGTAGGAATAGCCTCCAGTTGAATGATGGCAGCCACCTTCTCCCGCAGTGGACTCAGGCTAACTATGTTCCTGTGTCTTTCCACCAAACTGAACCCCAAGTGCTGGGACCTGACTTGCTGACAGGGACTCTCCCATCAGACTGTGACCAATGCGGTAGGTGGGGCAGGACTGATCTCTGTGTGTCCTTCACTAGATTGTTACCCCCCCCCCCCCCGAGGGCTGAGATCAAGGCCTTTGGTTCTTGTCACCTCAGCCAGACAGTGACCAATGGGGAGTGGGACCAGAACTCGTACGTGTGTCCTTTACCACATTGTGACCCCCTGAGGGCTGAGTCTGTGACTAGTAACAGGAAATACAACTTGTAGCTGGCAGTGCTGCCTGCTGATGCCCCCTTGGAGCCTCGGGGGGGCCTCTCTGCTTAGGTTCACCGGAGGCCTTGAAATTTGCAATGTAAGAAAAATGTTGGAATGTGTCACAGTGAAGCAGTTGGTGAGTTTATTAAAGCAGAAAGCTGCACTTGTCCGCAGTGTTAGGAGAAGAATGCACCTCGGTGCCCCGTAGAAGCTATCTATTTAATTTGGAGCTTTGGGAAGCTACTCAATCTCTAAATTTATTTATTTGTTTGAATACAGGATCTTTCTGTGTAGCTCTGACTACCCTGGCACTTTCTATGGAGACCAGGCTATTGTGGAACTCAATCGTTCAGCCTCAGCCTCCAGAATGTTGGGACTTTAGGCGTGTCACTGTCATACCTAACTTGAAAGACTAGGGAAAGTATGTGCTTGTGTCTTTCCTTTTGTTTTGAAGCCGCTGTCTTTGAAGATGAGATTTCAGTATAGCATACAGACTTGCAGGTGAAGAAGGTGGAGATCACATGTTGCTCAAAGGCATCCTTACACACGTTTGGCAAGGACTTTGAACTTCAGTCCATTAGCCGTTTTCTGCTGTTTCCCAGAAACAGGGCGTAGTCCTTCTACAAGTGGACTAGCTAAGTATGTCAAAATCCCTGATCCCGTTCCCAGAGAGCGAGGAGGACCTTTTCCTTTCTCATGCCCGCTCTATTTCCTAACTAGCTCTCCAGCCTCAGCAGCCTCATGCCAGGCCCATTTCTTATTGCTATGCCTCCCAGAGGCCTGGGACAAGCCTTTATTATTTATGCAGGTTCATATTTTAGTTGTCATTTTAAAGATTAATTTTATTTTATATGTATGAGTGTTTTGCCTGCATGTACGTATGTATCCACAGAAGCGAGAAGGTGTTGGATCCCCTGGAACTGGAGTTATAGATGGTTGTAAGCCACCATGTGGGTGCTCGGAATTGAACCCAGGTCCTCTGCGAGAACAAGTGAAGTGGTCTAAACAAGTGATACATCCCTCCAGCCCTGGTTATATTCTTGAAATGGCTCAAAATTAGGGTTTTTTAGTTTTCTTTTTTTCTGTCTTTCCTTCCCCACCCCTCCTTCTGAGACAGAGTTTCTCTGTGTATACCTGGCTGTCCTGGAACTCACTATGTATACCGGGCTGGCCTCAAAGTCACAGACATCCACCTGCCTTCAAGTGCTGGGGTTAAATGCCTACAACATTAGGACCAGCTAAAATTGACCTCTTTTTAATCCAGTCTTACAGTAATTCTGTCCAATAATACATACAGTTCATTTACATCTCTTGTTGCAAACTATTTGGATTTGGTTTAATTATCTCACTATGTGCTTTCTGTTTGCTCAGGTTTTTCTGTTCGTTTTTTTCTCTCTGTTTATCTCCAAGCAGCCAGCGGCCCATAGAAACATGACCACCAATTCGGGCCCGGTACACCCATACTGGCCCAGGCACCTGAAGCTGGACAACTTTGTGCCTAATGACCTCCCTACCTGGAATATCCTGGTTGGCCTATTCTCCATCTCTGGATTCCTAATTGTGGTCATGTGGCTGTTGTCCAGTCGAGTTTCCGTTGCCCCACTTGGAATTTGGCGTCGACTGGCCCTGTGCTGGTTTGCTGTGTGTGCGTTCATTCACCTTGTGATCGAGGGTTGGTTCTCTGTATACCATGACATCCTTCTTGAAGACCAAGCCGTCTTATCCCAACTCTGTGAGTCCTCAGTTCTTGTACTGTGGGAGGGAATTTTCTGGGTAGAGATTAGTTTTGCTATTTAACCCCCTCCCCCTCCGTTTATTTGTTTGCTTCCTTCCTTTCTTTTTTTTTTTTTTTTTTTTTGGTTTTTACGACACAGGGTTTCTCTGTATTGTTTTGGAGGCTATTGGTCCAGCCTGGCCTTGAACTCACAGAGATCCTCCTGCCTCTGCCTCCCGAGTGCTGGAATTAAAGGCGTGCGCCACCACCGCCCAGCCTTCCTTCCTTTCTTATTCTCTTAACTTTCTTTTAAAACCTAAGCAGTTATCTGTGCTGGGATTGTTTTGTTTTAATTTTTTAAAATATTTTATTTATTGTGTATACAGTCTTCTGCCTGCATGCCAGAAGAGGGCACCAGATCTCATTACAGTTGGTTGTAAGCCACCACGTGGTTGCCGGGAATTGAACTCAGGACCTCTGGAAGAACAGTCAGTGCTCTTAACCTCTGAGCCATCTCTCCAGCCCTTGTTTTAATTTTTAAGATTTAGTAATTTTGGGCTGGGCAGATCGCTCAGGGTTAAGAACACTAGTTGTTCTTGCAGAGGACTCGGGTTCAATTTCCAGCATCCATATGGTGGCTCACAACCAGATGTAACTCTAGTCCCAGGGGATCCAACACCTTCTTGTGGCCTCTGAGGTCACTGCATTCACACACACACACACACACACACACACACATATTTAAAAATAAATAAAATAGGGCTGCAAAGATGACTCAGTGGTTAAGAGCACTTACTGCCTTCCAGAGAACCAGAGTTCAATTCCCAACACCCATATCAGGTGTTTGACAAATGGCTGTAACTAGCTGCATGGGATCTGACACCTCTTCTAGCTTCCAAGCACTGGTATACATGTGACGTGCACATGGACACACCCCTAAATAAAAATAAATTTAAAAAATAAAATAGTTAATGTTTATTTTATGTGTTCGTGTGCCATGTACATGCCTATGAAGGCAGGAAAAGGATACCAGATCCCCTAAAACTGGAAATAGGGATGGCTGGGCTTTTTAAAAAATCCTTTTTTTTTTGAATTTTTTAAATTAATAATGTTAAATTTAGTTTTATATGCATGGGTGTTTTACCTACCTGTATGTCTGAATACTGCCTGTATGCAATGCCTGCAAAGGCCAAAAGATGGAATTGGGACCCCCAGGACTGGAGTTAAAGAGGATTGTGAGTCACCATGTGAGTGCCCTGTCTTCTGGAAGACCAATCAGCGCTCTTAACTGCTGAACTGTCTCTCCAGGCCAAAATTCACATATGATATTCACTGCTCATAGGAGACTTTTTTTGTTGTTGTTGTTTTGAGTCTCGTGTAGATCTAGCTGGCTCGAAACTTGCTATGCAGATCAGACTGGCCTTGAACTGAGAAGATCAGCTGCTTCTGCCTCCCAAATTCTGGGATTAAAGGGCCCCAGCCACTTAGGGACAGTTGTAAGCCTCCATGCAGACACTGAACCCAGGTCCTCTGCAAGAGCAGCAAGTGCTCTATCCTCCACTAAGCCATCTCTTAACTCCCGCAACTTACTTGTTTGTTTTGAGACAGATCTCACTGCATAGCTTTGGCTGGCATGGAACTCTCTATGTAGACCTTGCTGGTCTTGAACTCACAGAAACTCTCCTGCCTATGCCTCCCAAGTGCTGGGATTAAAGGTCTTTGCCACCACACCCAGCCTGTTAACTTTTTAATTACACATATATCACATGAGTCTATATCAAACCATTTAAAGAAATATACAGTGAAAATCTACCTCCTGTCTACCATGTTTCTCCCAAACTCCAATAATTTTTTCAGGAGCAGGGGTGTAGCTCAGTTGTAGAACATCCTGAGTTCTATCCCTAACATCAAAAAAGTAAGTTTATTTGTGTATAAGCTATACACATAAGCCTCAGTTTACTTGACTGTGAAAGGGAACAATAGTAAATAGCACACATATTATGTAAGGCACTTAGAATTGTGGCAAGCAGTCAATGCTCTCTAATGATTCATTTTTATGCTTTATTTTGGAAGGGTCAAGACAGGGTTTCTCTGTATCACCCTGGCTGTCCTGGAACTCACTCTGTAGATCAGACTGGCCTCAAACTCACAGAGATCCGCCTAGCTCTGCCTCCTGAGTGCTGGAACTAAAGGCATGCGCCACCACTACCTGGCAGCCATCTTCTGTTTTTTTTCCAGACAGTATCTCATGCGGTCTGTGCTGGCCTCTAAATATCTATGTAACTAGCTAAAGGATGAACTTGAACTTTGGATCCTCCTGCCTCTACCTCTCAAGTGCTGATTACAAACATGCACGATCATTCGGGCCGTGGCGGCACATGCTTTTAATCCCAATACTTGGGAGGTAGAGATGTGGATCTCTGTGAGTTTGAGGCCAGCCTGGTCTACAAAGCAAGTTCCAGGGCAGGCTCTGAAGCTACAGAGAAACCCTGTCTTGGAAAAAAATTCACAATCACACCCGACTTTTTCCATTATATATGCCTCCTTTTATACCTTGTTGCCTTGAGTGCCATGCAATCATAGCACCATTGTTGTGTATCAGTCTTTATACATATTATATAAACACACGAGCCTTAAAATCAAAGCTACTATCTCCATTGTACAGTTGAATTAACTGAGGCATAGGGATGTTATAAAGTTTGCTGTCACCAAGTGGTGGTGGTGCACATCTTTAATCCCAGCACTTGGGAGGCACAGGCAGGCGGATCTCTGAGTTCAAGGCCAGCTTGGTCTACAGAGTGAGTTCCAGGATAGCCAGAGCTATCCCTGTCTCAGAAAAAAGCAAAAACAAAACAAAACACACAAAAAGCACAGTTTGTTGTCATACAGTGATTATCAGAAACAGAAGTTCCTTTTCCTGACTTGATTCTTCTTGTATCTGTTTTCCTCAGGGAAAGAGTATTCCAAGGGAGACAGCCGATATATACTGTAAGTGCTTTGCCTGTATCAGTGGAAAACCTGCATTGATGTGGGGTGGTGAGTTGGGGCCACTAACCAGTTGTTCTGTGGGCAGAGTACAATGATGCCAGTGTCCATTTTTTCTCTTGCAGTAATGACGGCTTCATCGTCTCTATGGAGACTGTCACAGCTGTTCTCTGGGGACCACTCAGCCTGTGGGTAGTGATTGCCTTTCTCCGCCAACAACCTTACCGCTTTATCCTACAGCTCGTGATCTCTGTGGGTGAGGAAAACACCTATACCTGGCACCACAAGGGTTAATGGGGGAATCCATAGATACAGGCACATCCGTGTGGGTGAGATCTTATAAGTGTCCATTCGGGGGTGAGACATGCTGAATATCCTTGGTATTCTGAAACATCCAAATCTCTCTTTCTCTGAGCTTGCCTCTCCAGCAGGAATGTCCGGTTCTCTTCCTTTTCCATCAGAGTCTCTTATGAAAGTTACTTGATATAGTTCATGCTGCCCAAAGTCCCTGGGTCCTCTAGGATCTCAGGACCTAAAGTGTTAGCTTTTTTTGTTTGCATATATGAGCTCTCTTTGGTCTTGAAATCCCACGTTGTCATTCTAGGATTTTAAACTCGCCTTTAATTCCAGATCTGTGAGGTCTCCTGAGTTGAATTCTCCATGTTCTCTCTGGGTGTGGAGGTATATGTTTGTAATCCTAGCATCCAGAAGGCTGAGGCAAAAGGACTGCGAGTTTTAGGTCAACCTAGGCTACATACCAAGATTTCTCTCTCTCTCTCCCACCCCCACACCGCCACCCCCACGGGAGGGAGGATTGAAGGGAAGAAAGGAAAAAAAAATTCCCACACGGCTTTCTGCAATTTGTACTTTGTTATCTCAGATGTCCAGCTTCAGTTTCAGAATTTGGGTTGAGCTCTGAGTCTTTGAGAAATGGCTTGGCAAATGCCAGGGAAGAGAGCCTTGGCTTAGTGTTCTTGTCCTCACAAGGACTTTCCCTTCTCTTGCCTTCCACAGGCCAGATATACGGGGATGTGCTGTACTTCCTGACTGAGCTTCGTGATGGATTCCAGCATGGGGAGCTCGGCCACCCCCTTTATTTCTGGTTTTACTTTGTTATCTTGAATGGCATATGGCTGGTGGTACCTGCAATCCTCGTGCTTGATGCTATAAAGCATCTCGCTCACGCCCAGAGCATGTTGGACAGCAAGGTTATGAAAACTAAGAGCAAACATAACTAAAGAGCAGTATAGTGGGCTGGAACACCACCAATGAGTCACCCTGCCCACCTCCCAGAAGACTCAAGCCCTCCTCCCACAGGTTGGAAGGTCAGAAGTATCTGATTTGTCGCACTCAGGCTGATGAGTGGGCACAAAAAAAAAGCCAGTAAGGAAAAGTAGGGAATGTGTGGAGCTTCTGCCAGAAACCGTTGAAGAAAAGATATGAGGAGGTGGGGGACGGGGGTCCATTGATGGTGGCAATTTTCAAAACCGGGAAATAAAAATCTTTCATTATAACACAGAGATATTTAATTCCTAATCCGAGCAATGTCATGTAACTAACCCCACAGATCTCTCTCATCACTTAATCAATCATCCATAGGCCTCCATCATCACATAGATATCCCATGTCTGGCCTTGCAAACCCTTAACACTAACTCCACACATTCCCATGATTTACCCTGTAGAAGCTTAAACTCAAGGTCACCCTGTCACTTATCCCATAAACCCTGTCAGTAACCCCATAGTTGACTTATATTAGCTTCGACCACCATAACAAAATGATACGGCTCAAGCATTAAGCAACAACATGGAAGTTCTCGGTATTGGAGCTGGTCAGTAGGTGTCAGAAGGTTTGGCTTTTTCCCCTGAAGCCTCTTTCCTAGCACTGCATTCTGTGTTCATATGTGAGCAACTTTCCTCTTAGGACACCATTCAGATTGGATTAGGACCCATTGGACCAGCCTCAGGTTTAACTTCATCACATCTTTTAAAGACTATCTTCCAGAGGCAGGTGGATCTCTGTGAGTTCGAGGCCAACCTAGTCTACAGATCGAGTTCCAGGACAGCCTCCAAAACAATACAGAGAAACCCTCTCTCGAAAAAACAAAACTAAATAAATAAATGCTATCTTCAGGGAGCTGGGGAGATGCCTTAGCTGGGGAGATGACTGCTCTTACAGAGGTCCTGAGTTCAATTCCCAGCAACCACATGGTGGCTCACAACCATCTGTAATGAGATCTGGCACCCTCTTCTGATCTAAAAAAAAAACCACTATCTCCAAGGTTCTGGAAGTAAGGTCTTCAATATATAAACTTGAAGAGGACACAGTTCAATCCGTAACATTCCTGCCCTCTAGTCCCCCTACATTAACATCTTTCTTGTATGCAAGCTTTGTTTATCCCATCCCTCATCCTGAAATCCTTCATTCATTCAGGAATTAACCTTTTTCTGGGGTGAAGTTGGAGTGCTGGAGAATCCAAGGTCTTAAGCAAGGCTCTATCCCTGAGCCACATTCATCACTCAGGAATGAACTTTGTTTTTTTGTTTGTTTTGGGGGGGATTTGTTTGTTTTTCGAGACAGGGTTTCTCTGAGTAACAGCCCCGGATGTCCTGGAACTCACTCTGTAGACCAGGCTGTCCTTGAACTCCCAGCCTCTGCCTCCCTATGCTGGGATTTTTTTTTCATGAGACACAGTTTCTCTGTATTGTTTTGGAGGCTGTCGGACCAGCCTGGCCTTGAACTCACAGAGATCCACCTGCCTCTGCCTCCTGAGTGCTGGGATTAAAGGCACGTGCCACCACTGCCCAGCTCCTCTGGTCTCTTCTTATTTGGCCAGTAAATCCTATACCCACCTCCTAACATACAAAACTACCTCCATATCTTTAGATGTTATTTACAGTAGCATCCATCCTACTCAATATCAAGTCTGTACTAACAATATACCGTAGATCAAGAGGCTGTAGGATGGGGGTGTAGACATTTGTTCATATAACTGAGACAGACCTTGAACTTCTGATTCCTTGCCTTCATTTCTTAAGTACTGAGGTTACCGGTACTGTGACTGGCTTCCATCTGGCTAAGATAACAGGAATTTCCTGGATCTGGTTGCGTAAGCTATTTGATAGGCTAAGGCAAGAGAATCTCAAGTAAAAAGAGAGCCAGACATGTCCTATCACTCAGGAGGCAGAGGCAAGCAGATATTTGGGTTCTGAGGCCAACCTGGTCTACATAGTGAGTTCCAGAACAGCCAGAGTTTTATGGAGGGACCCTGTCTCTCCCCCCAAAAGAAAGAGGGTTGGGGACACAAATCTATGGTAGAGTACTCAGCTAGTTTGTGCAAGGTACCGGTTTAATCCATAGTACAACAAACAAAAGCCATGTTTTCTCAGCTCCAGAGGCTAAAAGTTCGTGTTCATTTTGTCAGGTTTGATTGTCATGAGGCTGCTGTCCTTGGCTTGCAGGTGGCTATGTCTCACTGTGTCTTCATAACATTGTCTCCCCTCTTTGCAAACCATGTCCATGTCCTAATTGCTTCATATCAGGACACCAGCCAGATTTTCATTCGAGCTCAACCTACCGGCCTCATTTGAACTCATTTCATCACTACCTCCAAATATAGCCACAATATAAGATACTGGGAATTAGAACTTCAGCATGAATTTTTTTGGACTTGCATTACTCTGATTAATCATCTTATATATCCCCTACACTATTACTTAGGGCCAAAGAAACTCCCAAAGCTCACTGTAAAAATCCCCACCACAAAGTCTAGACATCCCCAGCTCTAGCCCTGCAGACATTACTCACTCATAGACCTCATCTCGCCCCCATGGGCCCCATCACTAACTACATAATTCATATCACTCCACAGAGTCTGCACCATTCACCTCACAGAGCTTTGCCTGAATCTTTCCAGGCTCCTAATCACTCATTCCACAGACTCACCCACCATGAACCTTTACAAAACTCTCATTCCATAGGCCTCTGCATTCACCTCCCAGATGCCCTATCATAATTCACTCAGCTGCACCATTATTCCCCAAGCCCCAATCTCTCACAACATAATACCCCATCACTCACCTTACAGGCCAACACAATAGTGTCTGCGGATCCCTATCACTCTACACAGCCCCTGTCACCTGACAGTACCTCATCAGTCACCTACAGATCCCTAGCCACTCACCCTAAAAACCAGCTACTGTCCTCTACAGAGTCATTCATTGTTTTGCACTGTAGGCTCCATCATTAACCCTGTCCCTTACCTATCAATGCCCCTTATTCACTGTAAAGACTCTCCACCAATGAATTTACCTATCACTACCCAAGTCCTCATCACTCAGCTTCCAGTCCCTTGATCACATCTAACATAGGCCTTGTCCCTTGATCCCACCGAGCCTTGTTATGCCCTGTCTGTGTAAAGCAGGACTTCAGTTCAAATCTTGGCTTTATTCTGGTTTTCACTGTAATTTTGGAGAAATGTCTTTTTGAATAAGTACATTTCAAGAGGCAGCAGGCATGGCAATAACAAGAATCCTACAGCAGTCAAGAAATGCCTGGCCAGCCAAATGTTAAGACCAAAGTCCTGCATGATTTCACCTCAATTCATTCATTTCATTACACAGAGAAACCCCGCCTGAAAAAAAAACAAAAAGAGATACAGAGACAGACAGACAGACACAAACACACACACAAACAGAGAGAGAGAGAGAGAGGGAGAGAGAGAGGGAGAGAGAGAAGGAGAGAGAGAGGGAGAGAGAGAGAGAGAGAGAGAGAGAGAGAGAGAGAGAGAGAGAGAGAGAGAGAGAGAGAGAAGAAAAATCCAGGAGTTCATATAGAGCAGGAGAAATATACTAATAATACTAATAACCCTAGCTGGCTTCCAAAGAAAAGTCCCTGTTATTTATTTATAGCTTCCAAAAAGTAGGATATATTTTGAATGTATAATATCAAGACAAGCAATTATTTTAAAATATACCAAGTTGAAATTGCATACTTGTCTAGAGATGTTAACTAGGGATAGAAGCCAGAATCAGTGATAGAGTGATAGCTAACATGCCTTGAATCTGATCTCCAGCAACCCATGGAGCCAAGCCTGGTGGCACAACCTGTAATCCTAATACGAAGGATCAGAAGCTCAAGGTTTTCTCCAGCTACACAGCAAGTCCAAGGCCAGCGTGGGCTACATGAGACCATTTTTTTAAAAAGCTGGATGCCTTCATAGGTAAGGGTGATTGCTGACAAGCCTGATGACCTGAGTTCGATTCCCAGTATCGACAAGGAGGAAGGAGAAAACGGACTCCTGAAGGTTGACCTCTGTCACATGCATGCTGTGGATATGCACACGCACAATAAAATGTAAGACAGTTTTTAAGGTTTTGTTTTTTTTTTTTGCTGCACATGGTGATGGCACACCTTTAATCTCAGCATTCAGGAGGCAGACAGATCTCTGCAAGTTCCAGGCAAGTTTGGTCTACTTGGAGAGTTTCAGGACAGCCAGGGCCACATAGTGAGAGCCTATCTAAATTTTTTTTTCTCAAAAGAGCCTAAAATAGCACACGGTGGCTGCACATGGCTTTGACCCCAGCATTCAGGAGGCAAGAGTTGGTGGATTTCTGAGTTCGAGGCCAGACTGGTCTACATAAAAAAACAAAAATTAATTAATTCGTTAATTAATTAACAAGAGTTCCGAGTATGTAAAACTGTTATGTACTGTTCCTTGAAATTTTATTTTGTGTGTGTGTTTTTTTTTCAAGACAGGGTTTCTCTGTGTAGCCCTGGCCATCCTAGAACTTGCTCTGCAGACCAGGCTGGCCTCGAACTCAGAATTGCCTGCCTCTGCCTCCGGAGTGCTGAGATTAAAGGCGTGCCAGTTCCTTGAATTTAAGTGTAAATTATTTATTAAGAGATTCTGGAAGGTGGGCACAGGGAAGGTTGATTCACACCTGTAAGCCCTTAGAAGTCTGAGATTAAAACAAAACAAAACAAAACAAAACGTTAAGGTCGAATTAACCCAGGAAAATTGGTGAGATTGGTGCAACAACAACAAACAACTAAATATAAAAATCTTTGAGAATTTTTTTCCCCTTTCAGGGAATTCATTTTTAAGGGAAGTATTTGAAACCGATGACATCATCTGTCACCCGAGGCACGTGGCTACTCCGAGCGAGCGAGTCTTGGAGCATTGATGTCACCACGCTGTGGCTTCCTCCCCGCCTTCCTCTCTTTCTTGAACCCGTCGTCAGTTTAACACGCCAGTTCATGAATCCGGAAGTAGACTGCCAAAACAACCGCGCCACGGGACCACGACAGGCGGGACCTAAACAGGCACTAGCACACTGGCAGAAAAAAGCAAAATTCATGACTTTGGGGGGCGGGGTTCCTGGCAAGAACACTCTAGGCGCATGCTCAGAGGCGACTTCCAGGCCAGGTGGGAGGGGCAGGGTCGTACGGTACCCTGTGCGCCTGCGCTCTGGTGCAAGGTGGGGCCGCGGGCGCCCGCACTGTGGGGTGTTCG